TGTTTGTGCTGCTCTAACATGTCTTGGTAAAATTTCTTTATGCAAGTTCAGGAAGCAGTTATGGATCATTTGAGCTATGTATGTAATTTGAGCATTAAAAATTGTACTATGATGTAAAATTTGGCTCAGATTACACAGCTTAAAATTTTAATGATTTTTTATTAATAGGTTGCAAGGCAGCAACTGTATCTGTTGGTGAGTTATTGATGGAAAATTTAGGTGCATTTTAATATGTCTCCTCTATGTCTTGATATACTATTCATTGTGTACATTACTAAGCAGCAACTAGCAAGGAATCAGATTTTATTTTTGCTTTACGTTCTATACACTGAACATATGGCATGTGGTTTTTGGAGGTTTGTCGGTTTTTTAACTAAAGTCATTAGCTTCCCTTTTGTACTTGTGGGCTATAGATGTTGAATCATGATATTGCATTTGCATTTTTAACGGAAAGTTACTTCGATTTTCTAACTACAGCAGCTACGCATGGGAATAAGTCATTCAACCTGGTCTCTGCAAATGATGTGATGCTAGATTCATCTTTGATGACTTACAACCCATTAGACTGCCAAAGGCCTGAACTGTTGAATAGGAATAAGGTGGAGGGAAATATTCTACTGTGTGGATTTTCTTTCAATTTTATTTCTGGCACTGCATCAATCAAAAAGGTGTCTGAAACAGCAAAAAGTCTTGGTGCAGCAGGCTTTATTGTAGCAGTGGAGAACGCCTATCCAGGCACCAAATTTGATCCTGTCCCTGTTGATACTCCTGGGATCCTCATTGCAGATGTCAGCAAGACGAAGGTATCTGTTGCTGATTTTTCTATCATGTACATGCAATTAATAAACCAATTTAATTCAATCAATGAATTATCTATTTTTGGCTGGGAAATAGGCCAACGGTAATTTCTAGTTCTGATTTTATATGTGTTCTGGTTTTAGAAGAACTATACTCAACATTCCCGAAATCAACTTAAAGTGAAAAACAGTATAGTACTTCAAATTATGAATTTGCTGGAACTACTTTCATTCCTTAGCTCAAGCTTGAATTCCAAGGAAAATGTGAATGTATTTCAGAAAAAAAGGGGTCCTGGTTATAAACAAAATTTATGAATCTGATATACAACTTCCCTTAGACTGATGGAGGTTTTAGCTTACAGTTGTATGAACAAAAAATATGCGTCAAAAAAATGTATCAAGATTCTTGTCTTGTTCTTTCCAGCTATGGATGAATTGAATTGGGATTGACTGACCTTGGAAACCATGTTTTGTAATGGGACTATCATGTTTAGAGAGGATGGCTTTTTTGTTTTATAAATTGAGATGTAAACCTGATGAGCATTCTGGTAAAGCACTCATACTTTTACCCATAAATTCTATATATTTGGGTCTTAACAGGGCATACTCTCTAGTATGTTGAAAGAAACTAATCATTCTTTGGCACTTATACGCTTTTAATGGGCATATATCTGCATTTTAACAAATCCTAAGTTGTGCATTCTATGATAAATCTCATATATGCCATATTGTCATGGGTATAACTTATAATTATTCATCAAGCAAATTGCTTGCATCACAATTTGATTAAAGAGACTTGCAACAGAAGATGCAATTAAACTAGGGGTTGTTTTTGGTTGCTTATGCATTAATGAAGTTGCTGATTTAGCCTTTCAGCCAAACCACCTATAGTTCATTCCATATCAGACCAGACTGGAATACGGTTATGTACATTGTTATTATGAGGATGCACCTACATTTCATGAAATTGTGCACAAGTAGGAGCTAATGAATAGATCCAATGTCCTGTAGAAAGACATTCTCCAAAACCAGAAAATGGATGGGATTCTATGATCAAATCTTTCACGATAAATAAAATTTAAAAGTGTTAAGAAGCATCAATTGCCACCATCACAATTTGCACATTAACAAAATCTTGATCACTTAAAGTGTACATCAGCCGAAGCCTCCATAATCTCCATGTCTTCTAACCGATGATGCATGTTAATGACACAATGAGAAAATGATACTTTCAATGTACCATTTATTGATTTTGCCATATGCCTGACTATAGGACTTGTTTCATCTGTGGTGTCAGTTTAACCATATACAATCTCTGCTTTATAACATCACTGCTTTATAATTTATAAAGTGTGTGGTCCTTCATTACATGCAGAACACGTAGATAGGGCTGATCATATTTAATCTCTATACATGTTTATCTAAAATTTGCAAAAAAAGGGATACAGAAAAGTTGCATTGTCCATTAATAGGTTTTCACCATTCTTTTTCTTGGTTGATCTCCATGCCATAAACTTTTCCCGGACTTACACATTAAATAATCTTGTTCAGTAATAATCATTTCTGCAGGGTATATTCAGATTACAAAGTACAAACAACAATCAAGCATGTGATTGAAGAGCATATGTTTAATGTTTTCACTGTTTCAAGAGTGTCTAGTTGTGATTCCCTTGGATAGAATCAAGGCCTTATTCTGTGATCTGATGTTTTTGCTCTTTGCACATGCATTATTTGTCACTTGTCAGAAGGATGTAAATCATAATTACAATTTATCATTTCCATTTTCTTTTCTTGAACACGGAGGACAAACAAATCCTGGTGCTTGAAATAGTTTAAATTGCACATAATAAAATTTAGCTTGTAGGAGATTCCTATACATATTAGCTTTATCCCAAAACTATGATACATGTTTTCAGCTTAATCAAGATGATGACCTGATTAGAACAATTTTAATTTACTGATACTTCAAATGCTGAAGAGTATGATTTAACATTTGACTTTTCTTAAGAAGTGGCCTTTAGTCCAATCTAATATGTAATTTTTCCATTATGGTCTTGTGAAAATTTAATTTTTGCTGAAATTTTCTAACTATATAGGAACTTATTGACTATTACAATTGTTCAACTAAAAGAGATTGGGCTGGTCGACCAATAAGTTTCCAGGCAACAGCCAGCATTGCTGATGGTTTGGCACCAATACTGCATAAATCAGCTCCTCAGGTGGCACTATTCTCTTCACGAGGACCAGATGTTAAGGATTTCAGCTTTCAAGATGCTGATGTCCTTAAACCTGATATATTAGCTCCAGGCAATCTAATTTGGGCTGCTTGGGCACCAAATGGAACAGATGAGGCTAATTACATAGGTAACAATTCAAATTATGGGTTTTACTTTGTTATTTTGATGACAAAATAAATATGCATGATGAACCATAGAGAATGCATCGTTGATATTGAAATCCCTATGAAACGAATTGTATAGTTGGCTCGTTTTACCCCTTGGTTGCTAATCTCATTTTCTTTGAAGACCAGTACTGCTGATATCTGATTTCCTAAATACTTATGCATGATTATATCAACTGTATAACAACAACAAAAATAAAACCGTAAGTCCCAATTATTTGGGGTTGGTAACATGGATTTTTTGTCGCTATTGGGATATGTAAAAAGTCATATATTTAGTTAGAGTATTTAAATTTTTATTTGTAGTTTCTATTAAAATCTTTTTAGGTCTTTCCCTACCTCTTCTCATGCCACTAACATTAATCATTTTACCTCTTTTGACTATTACATCCGGAGGTCTTCTAAGCATATATTCGTACCATCTTAAATGATTTTTTCTTATCTTATCCTCTATCAAAGCGATACCTAGTTGTTAACGAATAGAATTATTTCTTTTCCTATCCTTCCTAATAACTCCTCCACACATCCATCTCAACATTCTCATCTCAGCAATACAAATTTTTTATATATATTGTTTCTTAATTGTTTAACACTCAGATCCATAAAGTATTGTTGGTCTCACAACTATCTTATAAATTTTTTTTTTAATCTCAAAGTTATTCGATGATTACACAAGGCTCGTGACGTCCTTCACCATTTTAACTATCTTATTTTTACCCTATGAATAATATTTTCATCGATTTCTTCATCTTATTGAATAATTAATCCAAGACACCTAAAACTTTTACGTAAAGGAAATTGTATTGATTGGACATTGTTGAAAATATCTTGACTGGACATTGTTGAAATACTAGTAGGAAGTGAGGCAATATATACGGACATGATAGAATCCCTGTAATTGTTGAATATGTTCAGCTCCAGAATAGTAAAGACAAATGCATCTGCAGGAGAAGGCTTTGCTATGGTTTCTGGAACCAGTATGGCTGCTCCACACATTTCTGGAATTGCAGCCCTCATAAGGCAAAAGAATCCTCAGTGGAGCCCAAGTGCTATCAAGTCAGCCTTGATGACAACAGCCAGTACTTTGGATCGGCGTGACAGACCTATTCTAGCACAGCAATATTCTGAAAATGGGGTCATGACATTGGTGCAGGCTACACCATTTGATTATGGCAGTGGTGCAGTTGATCCGAAAGCTGCTCTGGATCCTGGACTCATTCTGGATTCAAGTAAGTTGTTTTTAGTAGGGCTTGCCAATCCTAAATGAAGTTCCATGGTTAAAACTTTTATGGTTTTACTACTAAAAATGGAAGTTATCAAATTTTGCATGATGGTACTATAAGGCATAAACTATTTGTTTTAGATACCAGGGATATTTTTAATTGTATGAATAATTCAGAATCTTTGACTGCAGTCTGTAGCTCAGGATTGGACTGAATATTTCTGGGCATTTTTTTCATAAATGACCAATGTAGCTCATTAGCAATTCTTTCACTTGCATGAAACTCTATAAGAATGAGGTGCTTATTTATAACATTTGGAAAGAAGAAAGTATTATCCTGGTATTTGAGTTCATTACCTTCAAACTTTTCTTTGAATTTTTCTTGCTGATGTTTTTTAAAGACCTATTTTCTTCATACGGTCCTTCAATTTAGACATCCATACTGCTCAGTTCTATACTGTTTTTCTTGACAGCATTACAGATGCTAAACCACATTCTTGCATTTTAGTACTAGGCCTGTTTCTTCATGATATTATGAACATGCCTGTACCTTTGCTACGACAAAACCTTGGATGTTGCTACTGCCTTTTGTGGACTTATTCTTCAAGTTGCTTCTCACAATATTCTACATATTCATTGCTAAAACATTAGTTATCCAATATGTGCTGTTGACAATTTTTTTTCTGTATCTGACTAGTTGGGTTCTTTGTGTTGACATCCATGCTGCTCTTCATCTGTGAACATTTTTTTTGGCAGCTTACGGAGACTACGTCAAGTTCTTGTGTTCAGTGCCAGATCTGGATCCCGGCGAAATTCTGAACATCACCAGCTCGGCTTGCAACGAGACCAAGGGTCATCCTTCCGATCTAAATACCCCGTCGATCACCATCTCCCGTCTTGCAGGGACTCAAACCGTGAAAAGAACGGTGACTAATGTAGCTGATTCAGAAACTTACATCATTACCACTAGAATGTCACCCGAAATCGCTCTAGAAGCCAGTCCTCCAGCAATGACTGTGCTGTCAGGAGCATCCCGTGAGATAACCGTGACTTTGACTGTCAGATCGGTGACTGGTGGATACAGCTTCGGTGAGATTCTTCTGAAAGGTGATAGAGGGCACAAGGTGAGGATCCCAGTGGTAGCAATGGGCTTCAGTAGCTAGTTGGTGCAATGGTTTTGAGTTCTTTGTCTTTATCCTAAAGCTTGATATTATTCTTTGTAGATGATCTATCAAAACCTAAATTGCTTTGGAATTGTATGCCTGGTGAGGCAATGTAAATCCTATAATGCCTGAGTCTTGCTAGTTTCTACCATGCCCAAGGTTGTAATGAAGAGCTCATAGTGGTCGTTGTATAATTTGCTTAGTATAGTATCATTAAGATCAAGTGCATGTTACCTTAGAGAATGCAGGTTTTACTCTATTTCATGAATCCTTTCCATGTTCTTGTCCTAAAGTTTTTTTCTCAAAACAAGGTTTGTTGGCATGGCTACAGGAATAAGTTTCTTATAATTCTTGATTAGCTTTAATATTTATTGTATGTTGTGTGAGACATCTTAGTATATTGTTGTACAAGTAATGGGTCTTAGATTCGACTTCATATTTAAATATCTTGTACATTGTTTAGTGTAATAAAAATTTATTTTTAATTAAAAAAAGTTATATGTTAAGAACTTAAAGTTGGAGAATAAAAAAAAAGAATGAAAAAAAATTTTGTAAGGTTTTGAGCTTAAATTTCGTTTTTGTCACTTATCTTTTATTAAAAAATAAAAATAAAAATAAAAATAAAAAATATTATAAATATAATATATAAACTTTCAATGTGTTGTTATAGGAAGACACCAAAATCAATTTGGTCACGAGGGTCCGAAGAGTGCTTTCTCTTGGAGCTCAATTATGGCCTTCATCGTAGCATAACATTGCTTTATCACCGGTTATCTATGCTGTCATGTTAACGTCAATAATGAAACTGTGATAAGCCTTGGTCCGAGAGAATCACCTCAACCTTGCATAAACCCTATTTAGGAGTCCTAATAAGGTTCAAACTACTGGAAGAGTCATAATTAGATTCAAATTCCATTAGGATTAGGATTTAGTTTAGAGATCCAAGTAGAGAGAATAGTTATTACTGAATTGCGATTTCTTTTCTAGAAACATATCTTGAGTTTCAAGATTTTGGTGAAAGGAAGAGACATATGAGAGATATTTAAAGAGAGTTGAGTGAAGGGTTCTTCTCGTTTATCTGAGAGTATACGAAAATTTAGTTTTATATACGGATATAGATAGGAAATTACCAAATCATCGACTTTTTGGTATGTTCTTTATTTGTTAATCTTTGAGTTTATCTTTTGATTTTGAAGTTTTCTCTCTCCTTAACAAAGTAGTATCAGAGCTCAAAATATTTGATTATAAGAGATTCAATAAGTATGTTATCTGTTGTTTCTGTTGGCTTTACTATAAAAAAATTTGAGGAAGAAATAGTTTTATCCCGTGACAAAGAGAGTGAAGAATCTTTTTGTTCGACAAAACATAGTAAATACGTTGAATGTTTAAGTAGACAAATTAGAAAAGATGAGTAATAAAGATCATTTGAGGTAAAGTGTATAAGTACTATTTGTCTTTACATCATGGATAATATGATCAATAATATTATTGATGATATCTATGTCAAAATAAGTTTAAAAAGTTTTATTTGGCTAAAAACTTAATTAACAAGTTAAATAAAAAATAAAAATTATATAAGTTGAGGATGGAGGAAGGTAGAAACTTGATAGAGCATCTGAATATATTCAAAAGAATATTAGATGACAAGAAGAAGAGGCCAAAGATAATGATACATCTTTTCAAAAGAGTTGGTGTTTGGATTATGCTTATTTTACTCATATTTGTATTCAAAAGAATTATTTTGATTTACTGAATGACAAGTTGACTAATAAATTGAGTCTAAGCGATGATTTGATGATGGAAGTCGTGGGTGTTAGTAAAATAAAGATCAAAATATTTGATGAAGTGATGCATGAAGGATGTGGCTTATGTTTCAAAGATGTGGAAGAATCTAATTTCATTAAGTCTTTTAGATTTTCAAGGTTATAGCTACAAGGTTGGATGTTGAGTCTTAAACATTACTTAGAGTTGCATAATTATAATAAAAAGATGATTATATGAAGGATTATAACATCTTAAAGGAAGTATAGATCTCAAAGGGTTGGAAATATGTTGTGTAGGGAATGACAGGTATGAGTTTGTGTAGAAAACAATAGGTGATATTTATGATTTTTAAAATACAAACAATTATGAGATTTTATTTTTTTTCTCTAATGGTGAGTTAGTGAGATAGAGGTCTCTATCTAGAATCAAATAGCATCATTGATTCGATTCCAATTATAGGTACATTGATAGGTTTGTTGGAATTAGGTGTTGGACCATGAACTAATTTGACTTATGTAGCTATGGTGAATTCTTTAAGCTAATGAATTACAAATTTTCTATAAGAGGAACAAAGTGAAAAAATACTCACTAGGGTGGAAATTATAAGGGTTTGTAAGTATTTTAGAATTTTGATTAGGTTCAAACTACTTTAAAGAGTCAATCTAAACTCCTTGATGGATTAAAATTATGATTTAGTTTAAGGAAATAGGTATAAAGACTAGTCATTGGTGAATTAGAAGTTGTTTCTATAAATATATCTTGAGTCTCAAGGTTTTACTCATGATGATATTCTTTGATAAATCTAGAAAGGGTTAAAAGAAGAGTTCTTTAGGTTGATGTGTATTGGGAGGGAGAGACGATTTTCAAAATCAAAAGAAAAATTCAAAGATAAAAAATCAAGAACATATTGGAAAGCTAATGCAAGGTTAACATGGTTTGACAACTCCTTGCTTATATCTATGAAAAAATCAAATTCTTCGTTAAGACTCTTGAGTTATCTACACTCAAAGTATAAATCCTTTTATATAAACCATGAAGAATTTATATTTTTTCTCTCATCCTCTTTAGAAACCCTAGAGGATAACCTTTTTTAGAGGCCCTAAATGATAACCCAGAAACATCAAAAGCAGCTCTTGCCCCACTAAGATCCAAAAACATATAGGATATTTATAAACTAATCAAATCCTAAATTTTTATGATTTTATCCGAGAACTCCTTCTCATACAAGGATTTCTTATCCTCCTAGGGCATTTGTCCTCAGAATTTTAAAATACTTATCTATCCTAATAATCTTGTATTTGTCTACCTTATATCTCCTAAAGAGAATACTTTTACTTCATGCTCTTTCCAATTTTCATCACTTAAATCTCTAATCATTAGATTTTTTGAACTTTAATACCACCTATTGGGATGGAGAGAAGACTTCCAAAAAAAAAAAAAAAAAGTCAGATTAATATAATTTTCAGTAACTTTATACTTATATTTACCAAAAAAACCAAGTTATTTAGAATAATTTACATCTACATCTCTCAACGATAACCCGTTACCACTATATCACATACATATCCAATAATATTAAATCAACAATATAGACATATGAAATATCTATTTGTCCCATATCACTCGTCATAGCCTAAAGTACCCCTATTATTATAGGATGCATTTGCTCAAGATAAAAAGAAAATGTACCAAATTCGATTAACAAAGTGCCCTCTCGCACATGATGGCTTCACCCTTAACTTAAACATCAAAATATTGATGCACCCAATAGTATTTTTTGCTTTTCTTTTCAAATATGACAACAATCGGTAAAAGGAAGCGTACTCAGAAACACAATGGTCAGTTATATTATTAACATTCAAGCTATAAACTTTTTGGAGGACCAACAATAGTGAAACAATAGTGATGCTCATACTCTGCCTTGCTAAGAAGATGACTCTCGCGGTCAACCACGAACCTTTTGAACATCCTGCATGTTGATAACCTTGTTTAAGACGGTCTTTTATTCTTCAAACAAAGAGTAAATCAAACACGGACGCAAAACACAAAATGTCAAACATATCGGAAGATACTAGAAAAGAAACTGGGTGCCATTTACCTTTGCTCATGCAGTTTCCAATGTCCTTCCCGGATGTCTGTCATGTCAAAAAAGTACTGCTTAGATCCATCCAATTTACTTACACACATGATAAAAACAGAGACGATATGGGAGTGACAACAGCTGAGAGGCACTAATGCTGACAACAGCGTTGCCCACTGATGCGGGCGGATCATGCGTTTTCCCATGCCTACCGTGTTTACATCCAGAATGAGCTTTCTAAATTGAGCTAGACAATGCAATTACTATACATTATTATTGTTGGAATAGTCTCTGATATTAATTTGCACCTATGACAAAGTCTGCGCCATGGACATAGCAGTACATTTTAGTTTTATAGTCAAAGCCCCTTAACAGCCAAACCAAATGACTAATTAGCAAAAGTATTATAATAATACATCTGCATAGTAGCATGACCAACAAAACAAATTTACTTGGTGACAATTCGTTCGGAACTGGCACTAGGAATCTTGAAACCAGCATCTTTCCCATGTCGTCATGAGCTATCTATCTATCGATCCTCCTCGATGGGGCTATCCTACAAAGGAGTAATTGTCAGCATTTCAAAAACAGAAAAATGCAAGGAAAAAACAAAAGGAATCAAAGGCAAGAAATAATACTTTTGAAACACCTGGGGCTGAGAAATAAGTTCAGCATTGATGATCTCTTAACCAAAAGTAAAGTTTGACAACAACAAGTGCTGCAAATTTGATGTATCCCAATAAGTTTTTAAGGCCTCACATTTCAACAAATGCAGATAATACAAATTTGTTATCCCCAATTAACATTCCTGAACACACAACTAAATTAGAAATTAGAAACTGTAAAAAAACATCCACCTCCCTGAAAGAACAAAATCCTTCAGCCAATTCAAAACATAACATCCTATAATGCCTTGCCCACTGTAAAGAATCTTGTTGTCAGCATACCCACAACAAAACCACCCCACTTAAGAGAAAAAAAAATAATGCTTGCAGAACAGGAATCCATTAAAGTTACTTCTGTAGGGTTCATAAGCAACATCATCCAAAGGACTAGAACAAATGCACTACATCATGTTATCATGTTCTGAGTTGCCTTTGTTTATTCTATGTTGACTAATACCTGCATCAAATTATGCTGCTTATATTCTTCACGTTGTCCAAGAGACATACGATGGCAAACATTCTTCTTTTCCAACTAACAATGTAACCTTGTATTCATTTATTGACATTGGCCATGCTGAGGCATTATTATCGAGGATCTACAACATAATCTCAGAAACATCGACGGAGTTGAAGATACCCTTTTAAATAAAAACTTTTCAAGGTCCCAAATATTATAATTACAAGGGTCAAACTAGCAATTTAAATTGTAATTTTCTATGCCAAGTAAGA